CCTTGTATAACCTCCCTGCTGGTAGTTGAAGGCTGCTGTTAAATCTCCTCTCGGTCTTCTGTTCTGCAAGCTAAGTCCAGCTGCCTCAGCCTCTCATTGTAAATCCTGTTCCCCAGCCCTCTAACTATTTTCATGGCCCTCTGCTGGACTCTCTCCACTGATCTCTACCCCATGCTGATGACCCTATCAGTTGATTGTCAAGCTCAGGATGGGGGTGCTACACGCTCTACGAATGGCCCCATGCAAAGGAGCCACAAAACTATTACCCCTATCTTACAGGCCACCTTTGTGCCTGGTTTGCCACCTTACGGTGGCGTTGATTGACTGAAGGTGTAGCACTGTTGTTATTCATGGTGCGATTGACATCTGAATCGCATCTTTAATGTCGCATTAAAGGGCCACAGTCCCCATACCAGATCAAAAAACTAAGGGCATTTATACACATGGGGGGAGGGGGGTGGCAGTTCAATTAGAGCAGCTTTGAGATCCATTCTAATTAAAGCACCTGGAGTATCTTGTGAATCATCATCCCCATGCTTAAAAATGGCAGTGCAGGCATTGGAAGCACCCCTGCTGCCATTTTTAACCAGAAAAACGCTGATACACGAGACATGAGGCTGCTAGAGTGCAGTAATTACCTCACTGCAGGAGCCTCAATTAATCAAGTCTGCCCCAACACACTGTAATTTACAGCGTATTGAAGCAGCGTCGTTGCTCGTGTATAGGCACTCTGTGTAGAGTAGGAGCAGAAACTTGCTTGAACAAGATTGAAACCAACATCCCCAAATCTTAATGACGTTAGGGTTTTGGTTCACTGAGTTGATACCTTATGTACCCTGGTAAGATGTCATCACCTTTTTTTTTTTTTTTTTCCCCACTTTGTTTTGGTTTAAAACATTGCAGTTAGGGGGAGAGAAGTTTCAAATGCCCTTTAAGATACTGGTATAAGTTCTGTTGTAGCCGTGTTTTAGCTCACTCCAGGATGTGCACACAGCTGTACCCACAAAGTATATGCACACAAGATGGCTATGGCCCGGGGTCCCTTTGTGCCCTGTGCTGGTGCCTGCAGGGTTCTGGGCAGGCTGCCAGAATGCTGTGCCGATGCAGTGTTTGTAGCCCCAGGTCCTGTCACCAGCCTGGAAGGGGTGCATTGGACAGATGCACACAAAGCAAGGGTGGCACTGCTCTGAAATTGTTCCTGAGGCACAGCGGCCATAAGGAACATGTCCAGGAGGGAGCTGGAGAAGCTGAGATGACAAGTATGAGACCACTTGTTCTCCCTGGCACAATGATTCTCCCCCTTGTTGGGCTTGAGGCCTTCCTCTGACTCCTTTTTTCTTTTCTTTTTTTAACTGAGCAGCACCCCATTTCAAAAACTAACTTATGTATTACGGTGCCTACCTCCTTGCAGACAGGCCAGCAGTGGGGGCCAGGGATTGGCTAGTCGGAAACCAGCCTGAACTTGCACAGACTGCGTTATTTCTTTGCACCTTGTACGCACCTTGCTTATCACCACACTTTGCAGCACCCTTTTCTATCTGGTTGAGAATTGCTGCTCTAGATCAACATGAATGCTCAGTGTTACAATTTACAACAGCAGGAGTGAGAATTTTACACATTACTAGCATTAAGAAATGACAGGCCACATGGAGCAAGCTGCTGCATATACTTAAGATGCCAGCCATCTTGAGCAACTAGGTCAGGTTTTAGCAATGAAAGACTACAGTGTATTTCAGCGACAGCTTTAAGGCTGTGTTCAGACTGCCACATGCCAGGGCAGGAGATCTAGTGCCGAGAATGGCAACATCACATCTGCTCTTCCCTCTTGATTCTGATCATAGTTTTTGTTAGCTCTTGTTCTTACCTTGAGCTTAGGTTGGTAAAAATTGATCCAAGTGTGAACCTTTCTTAGGGAGCTTAAAGGCTGCTAAAAGCAAACTTGTACAGCTCGAAACATAGGTGCAAGACATCAATTGCTTGCAAAATCTAGTGGCAAAATGTTTTAGTGTGGCTTTTATTTGTTTCTTAATAACCCAGCCATATTATATTGACATATACAGGTTTCCCTCAATTTATGTGGCAGAAGTGTTCCCAGGGAATGGCACATAAAGCAAACCCTCTTTACAATGAAGCAGATAGGGATGCATTCCCAGGGCAGTGAGGGAGGGAGGGAGTTGGGGCTAGGGAAGGGGCAGGGACACAGGTGCAGTGCAGCCCAGTGGCTGCAAGCAGCTGCTCTAGGAGTGGCCGATGCAAGTGGCTTGCAGCTGCTGGGCTGTGCCATGCCCCAAACCCCTGGGGCTCTGCTTCCCCTGGTGCATTGAACCCCCCCAGTATGGTGCAGCCTAGCAGCTGCAAGCAGGCAATGTCCACCGCTGCCAGGGCCGCTGCAGGCTGGGAGGGCAGGTTGCAGGGGCCTATGGCAAATTTTGGGGTGGCAGCAGCCCCCCTCACAATGCCATAGCCCACCCTGAGTGCCAGGAAGAGCCTGGTGCTGTCTCCAGCCTGAGTCTGCAGTGGCCACTGGCCCCATCCTGCTGTTGTGCGGCTGCCTGCCCCTGCTGCAGCCCTAGTAGCAGTGGATGTCACCTGCTTGCAGCTGCTGGGCTGCACTGTGCTGGGGGGTTCAGAGCATGGTGCCCCAGGGGAAGCAGAGCCCCAGGGGGGTTTGGGGCATGGCGCAGCCCAGCGGCTGCAATCTGCTTGGATTGGCCACTCCCAGAGCAGCTGCAGCAGGGGTGGGCAGCCGCCTGCAGCCAGACCAGAGCAGGCTGGGGCTGGTGGCTGCACCAGGCTCTTCAGGGGCAGGTGAGTAGGGCCTGGCCCCACGGCCCTTTCCCCTCCCCTCACCCCTCCTTCCACTCCCCTCACCCCTCCTTCCACTCATGGCCCTTTTCCTTCTCTCATAAAGTCAGACTTACTTGCTTGGGGAAGGACGAAACACACCTATGCCGGTTGCATATATGCCAATTTATCTCACATATAACAAATTTTGGGTACAAAAGGGTCATTGCACAAGAGCAAATGCACATAAATCAAACCAGCATAAATCAAGGGAAATCTGTACCATATATTAAAGTCCATATTATAGTTTGGCCTTAGGGACTGAACTTTAAAAGATAATGGAAGCATGGGAAATAATTATACACTTGGAACTGGGCCCAACGCCCATTTAATATAGTACAGTACTATTCAGTTTTTGATCCCATCAAATTTCACTGCTGATATTTCTTCTTTTATGTGCGTTTGTTTGCATGGCTGCTGGTGAAACAATAAAGGAGTGTAGGCTTGCTAGGCCATCAAGGCTTAGTCCCCTGTGCTTGCAGAGGGGACTTGCAAGAAATTCTGAAAATTGTCATTTCTTCAAACCCTCTACACAACTACCAGACACAGTGGCTAAAACAGCAATAACAACCTGTAGGTAAAAGCAAGAGTGAGGAGATCACTCCCCTGCTGCTGTAATGATGACGTATTAATTGGTTAATAGAATAAACTAGGAAAAGGCATGGGTGAAGGCAAAAGCCAATGTCTGCCAGTCTGATCAAGGGAAAAAAATCCTTTGTGAAGTCAGAGCTTCTCCTCTTTCCAATTCTATGTGCCATTTTCTCAGCCTCCCATCTTTTCCTGTCTTCCATTAATTTTCCAATCACACATCATGCCAACACTGACTGTTCTGCTTTTGTTTCTTCCTTTCTTCTGGGTTTTTGTTTTGTTTTTTTTAAGTTCTCAAGAATTCTCTCCTAACTGTTTCCTTTCCTGGGTGTGTCCCCACAAGTATACACGTACAATTTGCGGTACTGCAAACCTGTTGCAGCACCACAGACCACACGCACATATTCACACATTAGCAGTGCAGCATTTTTTTCCTGGTGTCAAAAACCCCCCAACTTCATTAAATACACCAAAAAAAGCAGGGCAGTGCACATGGCTGGAGTGTGTGGCACTTGAAACTGGAGCCTGGCTGATCAGAGCCACGCTCTGGCTACTAACCACGCTCTGTGTGCCCAGATTGCCACTGCTGCAGCCCTGGGAGACTCCCAAGACCCCAGGTAAGGCTGCTGGGGCCATCCCAGGTGCTGGCTTCAGCCTCCCCTACTCCACCGAGGTCAATTTGCCGTGTGCCAGAGCACATGTGCAGGAGCGTGCATGCCTAGGGACACCTAGCAGTGGCACAAATATGTGCTGCTGGTATTTGTGCCTAGGAAAATGGATGTTCCCACTTGTGGGGACTTATCCCCTGTGGCTGTGCATTGACCCTCCCTTTGGCTGAGAAACTGAACACTGTTGTTCCTTGGTTTGTTGATATCCATTAGGTGTCATGAGGTCATCACTAGAGAGTGAGTGAGCACCCTTACAGCACCATTCATATGTGTTCACTGCTTTGGGGGCCTCTGGAATAAGTGAGGGATTTGGTCCTCAATTCTAAAATAATTCCACCACTAGGCTATTGGACTGTTGTGGTAAAATATATTCCCTGCAAGGCATACTGGTTCCTTGAGCTGCTTCCTTTCCAGCAGGTTCCTTCCATTTTCTCTATTCTCGTGAAGCTCTAGGTAATTTTTTTTCTGTCTGTTGTTTAAAAAAGAAGTTTTGCCATTAATCTATCACTGCTCTGACTGCTAAGGGTGCGTCATGTGCTCATAGCAAGTGCTCATAGCGCTTCTCTGGCAATGCTTGCAGAAAGAATAGAGAGAGACTTATGTGAGCTTTATTCTGCTGTTCTTGTTGTATTCTGGAGGAGCTGCTGAACTTTGGAATTTTCTCCCATTGCTTTGGAGGAGTGCATAAATTAATCTCCTTTTCTTTTCCTCTCTTCTTCCCTCCCCCAACCAGCTGGATGGTCATTCTCTTGCTTCAGCATAGAACACTTCCCCTGCAGCTGTAGAAATGCTGTGTCATTGCCAGTAACATAGGCACAATTCTTCTTAACAGGATTTTCCCACATAGGCAGGACACAGGAGCAAGTTATGTCCTGTCGTTTTTTCAAAAAGAAGCAATACAAAATACAGTTTTTAGATGTGATTAGGACACTAAGGTTGTCATTATGTGATTATTTTCTCAATTTTTAACTTATCCCTTGAGTGGAGCTAAGCAGTAGAAACTAAAGGAGATGGTTTCTTACCTACAGGTTTTAATTATGTGGGTCTAACTTTACTGGAAGCCATCATCACGTCATTTCTTGAGCAGGGACCAGATCAGCCCCTCCACTGGGCCCCCCTCAGGCCCCAGGAGAGGCGCACCTAGGCCAAGGGTCAGGGAGGATCCAGTCAGGGAACTTCTGGAAGGACTGGATGTATTTAAATCAGCTGGTCCAGATGATTTCCACCCCAGAGTGCTGAGGGAATTAGCTGAGGTCATTGCGGGACCCCTGGCA